GCCGATGCTCCAAAAGAGTACAGTGGGACAGAGGATTCCGTTCTCGGTGGACTGTTCACCCTGGGATTCGATGAGTCGTCAGACGCCGATGATTTCACCCACATCGGACGTATGGTAGCATTAGAAGCGATTCGAAAACAGCAAGCTCGCAACCGTGCCATGAGTGTGGGCTCTATGCTTCCCGCATCTCACACACCGAAGAAAACCCGACAAAGTTTATCACAAGTCCCCACGGAGGTAGGTGCTGGGCACCGAGGCAGCAGAGTGAAAGAACACCAAACACTACTCTCATCCGGTCAACATCCATGAGGGAGATAGTAAACATTTATTTTTCTCCGATTCGACCGCGGCTGATAAAAAAACAAACCAACAGCTGTATCCCTATCGCCTGGCAGGCCGGCCTGTTTTGATGAGCGAATACAGGGTAGCGGTGTAAGACAGACAACATTCTCACTTCATCTGTTTATTATTGTCCGTGGATCAATCGAGAAAAGATCGCTGAAATAAGATTCCGTTTGATTGTGTTGTCCGACTCCAACAGGAACGGGACGGTTGCTTGGGGACCGCACAAATCTTCCAAGTGATATTTCAACTATCAGATTGCTGATGTTCCCCCCATCTCCGCCGCCAACCACCACCCAATTGACCATTCATACACAAACTTTTATCCCTCTCAAACACGTCTGTCCATTTTGTATTTGTGTGTATGCATGTTTTCCAAGCGTTCATATTTTTTTATAGCGCCACATTAACTTTTGTCTGTCCAATTGGTGTGTGTATGTGTCCGTGTCTCAACTTGAACCCGTCCGTCCCGAACTGCACATACTCTACATCACTCACAGGCACACACACAGAGACAAGATGATTACTGGTGAACTCTGTCTCACATTCACCTGTCCTGGGTTTCGTTGACTGTAATCTGCGTCCCTCTAGCCCACCCACCCGTCCGCTCGGATCCAGCATTCACCTTTTTGTGCACCAAGTTACGTGTTATACGTGTACACACACACATATATATATATATTGTTGGGAGAGAGGTATTATCGCTATGTGCCCGCCATGCACGAAATCCATAGGTGATTGTGTGTTCATTAAACGCCGAAGATGTTTTACACGCCCCTACTCCAGTCTCGCCCGGAACATGATCAGATTTCATAGAGTGACTGGAAAAATAAGGTGCAGGGAATGGGAAAACCACTACTTCTACTACTACTACCGGACGAATATTCTACAGTGCAATCTCGCTTCGATGAAGGTTGTTTGGGGGGGGGGGGGGGTA